GGACAAGGAAAGATTGTTGAGGAAGATGAATCAGTGTCGTCTTCATATTGCTTTGCATTGAAAGTGAAAGATTCATCACTGGTAATTATTTTTTGAAATCCGAGACCTTTTATGATTTAGCTCTGCATTCACATTCTGCTTTGGCTTTATGTGTGTTTGTATTCCTTGTCAAATCCTACTGTCTTTACAGATTCCTCCAGTTAAGGAACTTCGGAAATTGATGAGAATTCAAGCTCTTCGATGCCATGTAATTTATTGTCAACAAGGTGCCAAAATAAACGTGATTCCTGTGTTGTCTTCGAGATCGCAAGCTCTGAGGTATACATCATGATTACATTTATTTGTTTATTATCAACAACATAATATTATGAACTTCTCAGATATTATTTCTGGAAGTCCTTTGATTTTAATTCTTTGATTTTAATTGCTCAGTTTAGCTATTTCAAGGTTGATTAAATATATTATATCATCATTAGAATTTTCCTTCATCTTATTGAAAGAAAGCTATTTATCTCTGATAACTTTTTCGTGCAAGTGCCGCAGTTGAGTTACTGCAAGCATTTGAATTATGAGTATTGTTCAAAGAATATGACTATAAATAATATTGCTCCCTTCATTTTTTGAGTTTCAGTGATACCCGGCAATTCCTTTGTCACTAAATGACTTTTTATTTACATTAACAACTGTGAATCTGTGGCAGAAGCAAAAGAATTTCACTTTTAATTGGATTGATTCAGTCTCATTTAGTTTGGTGCAAATGAAAATGTAGCTGCAATTGTGATGAGGACTGGTTATGTATATCCCAAGAGGTTGTGATCAAGACTTTTAACCTCTCTTGTGTCAAGCCGATTGTAAAATGAAGCTCGATCTCAACTTCTGTACTTCTTGCATTAACAATTTATATAAACTGGAAGCATCATCACAGAAAAGCAACCCACAGATTATCATTCTTGCGGTGTTTAATTGCCGACTGCTCTTGTTTTTATAAAGAAAATTACCATATACTAACTGATATCTTCTTTAGGTATCTGTATGTTCGATGGGGCGTAGACTTGGCAAATATCTTACTTTTCACTGGAGAGAGTGGCGACACAGATTATGAAGGCTTACTTGGTGGGCTTCACAAGACTGTTGTACTGAAGGGAGTTGGCAGTAGTTCTCTCAAGCTTCATGCTAACAGAAGCTATCCTCTAGAAGATGTTACGCCATTTGACAATCCCAACTTTGTCCAAGCCAGGGGATGCAGCGCCAAGGAGATAAAGGAATCATTGAAGAAACTAGGGGTTCTTTAGGGTTGGAAGAATTACTGTTCTTCTGCCTAGAGAGAGAGTTTTCATCCTGTTTAATAGTAAGCGCTCTTCCCTTTGAAATTGCCTCTTATAATTACCCTCCTACCTTTCAAGCTTCCTTTTCCTTGAAGCTGCCTACAGCTTTAGTCCAAATATTGCTTGCATGAATGTTGCCTTATGAATGTTAGGGAATAATATAAATCATATCCTAGGACCTCACCTACAAACTTAAGCTTTTGGGTGATAAGGTCTTTTGACATGGTATCGAGCCTTGATGGCTAAACGATCGCGAGTTCAAATCCTACCGTCCTCCTCTCTTTTAATTAATCAAGTACAAAGTACTATAGTTGAAGTTGGTGAGATGGTTTTTTGACAATGAACCCCTTTGTTTCCCTTTATTTCAGAAACAGTCATAGTTTGTAAGTTGTAGCTTCGTTGCTCTTCATCATTGTTCTCCTTTTTCTTGTCTAACTTAGCATTCCTCTCAACGTGGCCTTTTTTCACCCCCACAAACACAGTTTTGCCGTTCCATGTGGTTTGTATAAAGGAAGAAGTCATCTCTTCTGTTGTTTTGTTTGTTTATTTCTCTTTGGTTTCTCAGCCATATGAGGAGGGCGTGTAATGTTGAAATGGATGCCTGCTTGAGTCAAAATTACAAATCCATCTCATTTTATGCTTCTCTGTCCTTCGCGGGGACAACTGCAGAGAATCATTCTGCTAATGGAGCATCATGTGCAAGGTTGGTGTTTTTTTGCCCTTTTTTCCGGTCCTGACCACATTTTGTTATATATTGGGCCGGCCAGCTCAAAATGGAGCCCCGACCTTCAAATTTTAACTTATTGGGCCATCTCATGTTGAAGCCCCAACCATCAAAACTAACCTATCAGTGGTAAGATCCATTAAGGGGCTGGTTGCTAGGATTAAAATGTTGGGAATGGCTTGATAGGAAGGAATGGAGATGATAAATAATTGTAGTTTCATCGACTTTGGGAAGAGTTGAGAATGAAAATAAAGAGTAACAAAAGAGATTATTTTTTCCCAAGAGGATGATGAAGTACCAATGGCCATGAAATTTTAATATTTTCCCAACTGGAAATGCCATCCCTACCCTCAACACGGCCTACTGGTCATTTCGATTTTCATTTAATAAATTCTTTTTACCGTGGAAGTAGGACATTTGTCACTCCCCAGCGTTTTTAAGGAATATTCCTTTAATACCAGCGCATGCTAATAATTCTTTTTTAAGATTTTTACTCGCAACCACACATATGGATACAAATACTCTTAACAACTATTTCCTGTGCATTAAACTCAATAAAAAAAAAACCATGATTTGAATTCATGAATTAAAAATGGAAAGTGATTTTCTTATTTTAACTTATCTATTAAAAAAAAACGAAATAATTAGGTGGGAATTTTTTGGATTTTTTTTTAGGTATATTGAAATTTATCATAGAAAAGTTTGGATGAATGTCACATCAGAAGTATGAAATTTCCTACTTTAAAGTCGAAAATAAATTATTATCCTTTTTACCGTGAGTTTCGAAATAGATTAGTGATATACAACGAAAAAAATCAAACCATCGATTCGTGGACCCACCATAATCAACGGCCATGATTTCTTGGAGTGTAATTAGAATTGCTCCCTACTTTCCATTCCATGAACCATTTCCTACTAATTAATTTCAAATGGCCTCTTGATTTATTTTATTCTGTTGACAAGAAGATCAAAATTCCAATTAAAATAAAACGAGAAAACTAAAAGAAAATTGTTGTGCCCTTTAGCGTTCATACTTTAATTATGATAACCTATACCGCGATAACTAGATTATTAATTACTTTGTGGAAATTAATGCTAACCAAAAAGTCAAAAAATAATAGCTAGCATCATCTTGGACCTTAACAACCAGTACGTGCACTACGCACATAACTCCCCCATAATTAATGATCTGATTCAAGAGATTTGCAACTAAATGTAGCCAAGGCAACGCATTTAGTAGATGTATTGGTTTTCTACCCTAGCTAGTTAATACAGCACAAGTTTGGCAATCATTATGGTTTCGATCTATTTCTATTTTTATGCATCATCAACCGACATGTCACTGAATTTTGATGACTTCTTGTTATCACTATCAATAACTAACTGAACTAAAATTTGACTTGATGGAAATGTATATTATTATCTTACAATTACTATGCATTCACATCTAAGCTTACCCCTTGACCAGCTGATAATAATTCATTGTTGATAATATGGTTTTCAATCTAAACTAATCATAACTTAATAGATATTGATTTAATGGAAAGTGTTTACAAAAAACAAGTTATTTTTTAATAGTTGAAAAAATCTTATAATCGAAAAGAAGTGTTAACTATTAAGAGATTTCTCTTATCCGTAAAATACAATTGATAATATAGTTATTTTTTAAATTAGAAGACGGAACCTGCAACATTCGGTTTGTTAATTATTATAAAGATAAAGATGTGATCGACAACTCATGACATCGAGTTAAAGGTTTAGTGTCTTTTTAAACGATGGTTGTTGTCTAACTATACATATTTTATTAAATATATGTTATTTTTGTCTACAAAGTGAATTGAAGAGAATCTTATGTATTTGAGCTAATATTTGTCAACGATGATTGTCCATGTCTCTCCTTGTTGTAATAGTCATTGATAGTTAATCAAGATTATTTTATTTGGGTTGAATTCTTAATCGAATAACCTTTTAGTAGCTCATGAAAACACATACCATTATTACGATCATATAGGTATATCTCATTTATTTATGCAAAAATAATAAAAATAACGCACCAATAAATCTCTCATTCGGTGGTAGTGAGCTTTTTGTATTTACAAGAGGTCACAAGTTTAAATCCTTCTTTTAAAATATTTAAACTTTAAAAAAACTCACTAATTAATTTAGCTTCTAAACAAAAAATAACACACACACACACACATATATATATATATATTGAATAAAAAATTAACCAAAATATATACATGCATGGTGTATGACTGTGTGGCAAAATATGCGATACATTTTTTTCCATTAATTGTAACCAACTTAATAAAAATTATAAGCAGGCAATTCAAATTAATCATGGAAGGATCAATCATACATTTGGTCTCTATATTCTTTTGAAGTTTTCTTAATTAATATGACATTCTATTTTGGTTTTTATTTAATTGGTCTTTCTATTCAAGAAAAAAAAATTAATATGGTCCCTTCCTAAAATAACTATTCAATTTACCATTAATTCTTGACATGGTACTCACATGTGCTAGATATTGGTAACGTTTTATAACATGTTGTCAATGATAAATGGTAATTAATTGGACAGAGGTTGGATGGAGGGATCCATTAAAAGAAATCTAAATTAAGGGATCAACAAATAAAAAAAAACAAAGAGCCGAGGGCTTCATTAAAAAAAAATGTCAAAAGTACAGGGAATAAATGTACGGTCAAGTGTTAATCCAATCCTGGAGAAAAGAAGAGCTAGCCGCAGCCAACTCTGAAAGTCTATCCCACGAGCAGCAAGCTAGATAGGCGTACGTGAGGATAGATTTGGTTCAAAAGATATACTCCAGCTAGACTTCTTCATGATCTATAGAGAAAAAGTCCTACAACTTCACTTTTTTATCTCCTCCATAGTTTTGTGCAAAAACCCTAATGAAATGCACTAACGGTACTAGTTAACACTCTTTGCCATGGCCGATATCAGTGGCGCTACCCCTTGTATACTATACCCTTTAATCCTTCTCGCTCTCCTTTTCTCTTCACTTAACAATTTCGTCACCAAAACTTCTGCTCCTCTATCTCATAATACTTCAGAAATAATTGCTCCTATTACTAGTGTAGTTAACGATGATCACTTTTTCATTGCAAGTACTAATAGTACCACGAATAAAGTAAGCCCTTATTACTATGAAGATTGTAGAGTAAAATGAGACTTTTTTTGGTTTAGTTACTGACAGAAATTTTGATAAATTAACCAGGTGCAAAAAGAGTGGCACTCGAAGAGCAGGATTGAAACAATGGAGGAAGGGTTGGCAAGAGCAAGAGCAGCAATAAGAAAGGCAACTCGAACGCGTAATTATACATCGTACAAGGAGGAGAGCTTTGTCCCTAGAGGATCCATCTACATAAACCCTTACGCCTTTCATCAGTTAAGTTCATCTTTATAATTTAGACTCATTTTTGGTTTGAAAGTTTAGATTACACTAGTAATGCCAAATCCTTTAAGTTGTTTCACTTGAGTGATACCTAAGTTTTACTAGGATATTGATAGGTGGTTTCTTGGATGCCTTTGGAAAAATCTGAAGGCACCATTTTTTTCACCCACTAGATATTCTGGTGTGTGACCGGATCCAGCATCACTTAATTGGTTACTTGTAGAATTCAGCCATGGTCCAGAATCACACTCGTCGGATATCTTGGCACCCGATTGATTGATTTTGGAAATTTCTGAAAGAAAACTATTTGGTTATTATGGAATTTTATATGAAGTTTCGGTACTTGAGAAAGTGCCTATTGCTAATACACTCAACCTCATGTTGATCTTGATAAGTTTAACATGTTTTGAACACTCTAGAATCTAGGGGGGAAAGAAAATTCCCCTTCCAATTGGAAACTGCCAAAAGTCTCAAAGCCTTGCGTATTTTTACATGTGATATTGCTTGTGATCATAATGGATTTGGTTGGCATCAAACCTTACTCGTAGAAATTCCATGGAAATTAATTAGAATTAACAGGTCATGATAATTGATCAGATCGATCATAAGAATCACTTTGGGGATCATCATAAAATTCCACTGAAATAATTGGACGGCCTCGATTCAGCCATATTATGCGGCCTAGATTGATGGAGAGTAACAGCTAGCACGGCATGGTTAATGTTATAGTTTGTCAGTGTAATCCTCGGTCATTTTGTTTGCACATTCCTGGCAAGTACTGACCTTCACAGATTGCAATGTATGTGTACTTGTATGCAGCTAGCAGCATACTAAACTTTTAGTGAAGAGTTTGAAAAATTCAGTTCCTTGATTGAAGAACCTATAGCTCCCACTGCACCTATACATCATATTCTTTTGTAGCCTTAGGGATTGAACTTTGAGACGGTCCCCCATTTTAGCATTTAAGCAAAGCAGAATAATAGGAGACAACACTTTAATTTCCTCTGCGAATGAGCTAATTAAGGCAAATTCAGTTGACATTAATATTTTTATTTTATTTTATCAGGAGCCATATTGAGATGGAGAAGAGATTTAGAGTATGGACGTATAGGGAAGGAGAGCAACCACTATTCCACAAAGGGCCAATGAATGATATTTACTCCATTGAGGGGCAAATTATTGATGAATTGGACAGTGGCAAGAGCCCATTTTCAGCTAACAATCCTGACGAGGCACTTGCGTTTTTCGTCCCAGTTAGCGTAGCCAGTATCATTCATTTCATCTATATAAGACCTTATGTCACCTACTCCCGTAAGCAAATCCAGGACGTTGCTGAGGACTACATTGACATCATTTCCAGGAAATATCCTTACTGGAATAGAAGCAGTGGAGCTGACCATTTTATTATTTCTTGCCATGATTGGGTACGTATGAGAATTTATTCTTTTTCTGATTCTTCCTTCTTGTGATTTTTCCGATGACTAAATATTCCAGCAATTAGCATAACATAATCAATGCCAGCCTGGCTTAGCGAGACATTCATGCTTTAATAAATCTAGCAATTTCACGATAATCCTTTAATAGACATTACTTTCTTTTCTTCTTTTTATGATGAGGAATTCGGACCCACACCCTTCAAATGTGGGTCAAATAAACCTCTGATAGGCAAGTAATCAGTTTAGTTGGAATCGTGATTGAAAATAATAGACATTATTTTCAATTCTAGGATTACCTTTGATCTTTATATATGTTCATTAATTGATCTCCTTCGTTTGATGCATCAGGCACCAGATGTTTCAGCTGCCAACCCTGAATTGTACAAGCACTTTATTAGAGTTCTATGCAATGCCAATTCCTCTGAAGGGTTCAAACCAGCAAGGGATGTCTCCTTGCCAGAATTTAAGCTCCCGCGTGGAAAGTTAGAACCACCACACATCCTCCAGCCTAGTAATGACAATCGCTCGATCCTTGCCTTCTTTGCCGGGGGTAGTCATGGGCATGTAAGAAACATATTGTTCAAACATTGGAAAGGCAAAGACAACGAGATCCAAGTTCATCAATACCTCCCCGAAACCCTAAATTACACTGAGCTGATGAGTAAAAGCAAGTATTGCTTGTGCCCTAGTGGATGGGAGGTGGCGAGCCCTAGGGTAGTCGAGGCAATATACTCAGGTTGTGTTCCAGTTATCATTTCAGACTATTATGTCCTACCTTTTAGCGATGTTCTTGATTGGAGCAAGTTCTCGGTTTATATTCCGGTTGCAAGGATACCAGAGATTAAGACAATTCTACAAAGCATTCCTGTAGAGGAGTATTTGGAGAAGCGAACGAGGGTTATTCAAGTGCAGAAACATTTCAAGCTCAATCGACCAGCTAAGCCCTTTGATGTAACGCATATGGTCATGCATTCTGTGTGGCTCCGGAGGCTTAATATCAGGCTGCCAGTATGATTAGTTTCATGTTGTAGATTATATATACATAAATTAACTTAAAACTTCAGAGATAGATATGGAGGTTTTTTTTTTTAAAAAAAAGAATGATATAACATATTATTCATTATATGTAAAACTAAAATTATTCTGTGCACACGCAGCTAAATTAGTATACTGCAGACAGCTAAATTAGTATACTGCAGACAAGAGACAAGAAGTGTTAGAAAATGAAACAAGGAAATAGATAGAATAAAAAGATAAAAATAATCACAAGATACAAAAATTTACATAATTTGATAATTGTATCTACTATATAATTGCATTAAAAAATTTTATTAGATTTTTATTAAGTTTTCAATCAATTATAATATATATATTTATAATGTGGATAAGTAGAGTTATTAAAAAAAGTTTTTACGGACCTATACAATTAGTTCAATATAAATAGACTGTTATGTTAAATCTAATTAACGTATTAAATTATGAGATATATTCACATCATTGTCTACAACTTAACAAAAAGCAATCGAGACTCAGCTATATATGCATAATATCTTCTCTAATCATTTTAGTAATTTCTTTGGAGCCGTGGTTTATGATGTTGTACTACTAGTTAGAATTTATTGTTGTTTATAGGGTATAATTTGTTCTCCGAACGGTTAATTTATTTGACTTTAACCAGTTTTACTTTTATCCAATCAATAATCTTCGAGACTAAAGACTTAGATTATCTTACAAGAAAAAGAAATAAAAAATACCTAAATTTTCAATCTAATCAATCTCTCTCGTTTTATAGATGAATAATAAACTTTATAGATATTGATAACTCCTAATCCATAATTTAGTGTCCATCAAATCCTTTTTTAAAAAACATCTTCGCACGACCCAGCTGCCCTACGCAACAAACATAATCTCTTTATTTTCCTATCTTTTAGCTCCTCTATCACAAGAATCTCAAGTTTTAGGTTTTATTTATTTATTTTTAATGAATGAAGATATTTCAGAGTAAATTATAGATTAGCTCTTCTAATTTCGAGAAACCAATTTGTTAGTCCTTATATTTTAATTTTTTCTGTAATTTAATCTTTTTTATTCTTTTTCAATTTATTTATTTTTTGTTTAAAAAATAAAAAATAGGAAAAAAACTGATGAAAAAATGACATTTTATAAAATAAAATAATATTAAATTAAACATGATTTGATTAACGAACTAAATGATTAATTTTTAAAATAAAAAGATTATTTAATTTATTAAAAAAATAAAGAAACTAATTTATAATTTATTCAGATATTTCATTTATCAAAAGAAAAGGCAAGGCTCAATACAGCAACAAGTACACAAAGGCAAAAGCCTGCTACAACTTGTACCGATGATGATATTCAAATTTATAATTATTTAGTTATATATCAGAGTTCTAATACTATGTTAAAGAACAATATTAATTTAAAAATTAAAGTTATTGATAAGATTCTACAATATGATTTATATTACTATTTTAACATATTTTCTCAATTGAAAAGTTTTTGAATTTGAAACTAACACAAATATGAAATAAGAGGTTTGGCAAGTGGCAAAACTCACACTTTTTAGCTAGAACGCAAAACAAATTTATTTAATTTTTTTAATACACATAGATATTTTATGTAAAAAAACACATGTGTGTAGATATATATTTATATATATAAATTCAGTATGTGTACAAATAAGCACTTTTTTTGTTTTCTTTTTGAGAAAAAGAATTTTGAATTTCAAGTAACATGTCAAATGTAGGTGCACTAAAAAAAATAATATTCATTTAGCAAAGGTTTAAAAAACCCTCACTAAAAAATGCTCGTTAAATCTCTATTTTCTTGTAATGGTGTGTGATAATTAAAGCATTAATTATAACATATATCTTGAGTTATGACACGTTTAACTTATAAAAAAAGTAAAAGACAAAACCATAATAATTCCGAGGAAATGAAGCGAATATAAAATAAAAGATAAAACTGACGAGGATAAATTAGAATATATATATATATATATATATATATATATAAGAAATTGCAGGATAAAAGAGTTATAAGGGCTGCTAAGCAATGGAACGTTGAATTTGTAGACATTTTAAGGTTGGTGGGCATCATCAAAATACCAAACAGAGTATATGGAGAACATGGGCGAATATTGAGAGGGCAGGTGGAACGAGTTACAAACGGCTGCATGCTGCTCGGCCTAGTTACGTAGGCTATAACAGTGTTTGTCTTTGGGCCCAAGGATGGAAGGGCCTCACTCTGCTCCCCGGGCCTCCGCCACTGGGTTTCGCTTTAATTTTTGTTCGCAATTCATACTAATATACTATCGTACCATCATTGTTTTACGGGGTATTCTTATATTCTTTTTCATCTTAAATTCAATTTAATATTATCTATCTACTCCATTTTTCATTTTTAATATTTTTTTAATGAATTTTAAAAAATTGGAAAAAATAACAAAAAAATGAAGATATATCCGATCATTTTCTATAAAAAAAGGTTTTAAAAAAAAGAAGTAAAGTTAAAAATATTCTTTACATGAAATATCATTTATGTGCTTAAATTTCTTTTAAAAAAATTGAAGTTAAAAATATTTTTATCCTAAATATCTTTTATGGGTGTAATTTTGTTTATACGATAATAAGCAAATTTTAAGTAAAAAATAAAATATTTATAATATTTTTTAAATATATAGAGAGTTTTAGTTAAATTTTTAAAATTTTAAATGGTTCATAATTTTATAATATTTTTAAAAGAGTCTACTATAATTTACTTATTTTGATTTTATAAATTTATTAATTTTAAAAATTTATCTAAAACTATCTTCACATTTTAAAAAATAATATTATAAATATTTCATTTTATATTCAAAATTTACTTGCTGTTATAGAGATATATTTTTTTAAAAAAAATACTATAAATATTTTATTTTACACTCAAAATTTGTTAACTATATTAGAGACAAATTTAAACTCAAAAAGGATATTTCAAATAAAAAAATATTTTATCTTTCCCTTTTAAAATTTTTTAGAGATAATGATAAGATATATCTTCATATTTTTCTTTTCTTTTTGTTTTAATTTTCCAAAATTTATTATTTAAATTTGATAAAAAAAAATGAAACAAAAAAAAATAGAACAAAGGAACGAGATAAAGACATTAGTCCCTATTAGTACAAAAATTAACGAATGGACGATGTTAAAACAGAAACAGAGCTTTAAAAAATGAACTTAAAACGAAAAAGAATTAGAAAAAACACGTTAAAAAAAAAGAATAAAATTAAGAACCACTACTACCATTGACCTATTATTTTATAGCCTCGCTAGGATCTCCTTTATATGTTCAAATTGAGGAATGCTATAATCCAAATCTAGCTAAGATGTATGTGTAATGGCTTCTCAAAAATTAAGCCATCCACGGAAGATTCACCAATCAAACATTTGGATGGGTTTTGAAATACATCTTTTTTAAAATATCCATCTATTGAAAATTTGAACAAATTAATGAAATTTCACAAATTATTCCGTAATAAAAATTTTTTACCATTGGTATTGAAAATTCACCGATTATAGCATTTTTCTTTTAGTAGAAAATATGTGTACTAATAAGTTGATTATGTCAAAGAATAATTTCAATTAAAAGTAAAAACTGTTAGGTGAAATTTAAAAAATAGTTTTATATGACTCTCTAGCACATCTCCTTAAATGAAAGGTTTTTAGGATTAAAACTTAAACACGCTCATAATATCTCGTGCTTAATTAATTAAAAGAAAAATGAGGATAGTAAAATTTAAACTCGTGACTACTTAGTTACTCCGATATCATATTAAAAAACTATATCAATTTAAAAGTTTAAACCGTTAGATAAGACTCAAAAAATATTTTTATATGACTCTCTAGCATTCAAAAAAAAATATAATGTTGTTTATATCCATACACTTAATTTCTAGAAAAAAACCTTAATGTAATGCATATGTATTAAACTGAAGTTTATTTAAAATATATCCGTGAATGGAGTAAATTGAATTTAGATCTGTCTTCTCTTTAATGAACTAATGATGGGACTCAAATATGAAGCCTAAACTGAATAAATTTTTTTCTTGTAACTCGAACCAACCTCATAGAAACATAATAAGTTTTTTTCTTACAACTTGGACGTCCAACTCGTTGAGAGAACGGAAAAGAGAGAGAAACATACGGAAAGAGTGAGTTTGTTATTTTTGAATTTTGTTTGTTACCGTTACAACGAGAATAGAGTGTCTATTTATATATACACCGGAGGAAAGGTTCCTCTCGTAGCTCACATGCTTCCTTATTGTTTACACTCGCACTACTTTACTATATACACATATTAATACATTACAATTATACTCTTAACACTCCTCCTCAAGTTGGCGGTTTATACATGTCATAAACTCCCAACTTGAGCATGAGATGATGATGAATCTTGCTGTCAAGACTCTTGGTAAATATGTCCGCAATCTGCTTTTTGTGTGAACAAACACCGTCTTGATCGGTCCTTCTTTGATTTTTTCTCTAACCGGATGACAATCTATTTCGATATGCTTTGTTCTTTCATGGAAGACTCGGATTGGAGGCTATATAAATTGCTCGCCTTGTTGTCACAACTCATCTCCGCCATCTTAACCTCTCGTAACTTGTAGTTCTTTCAACAATCCAACAAGCCATATTATCTCACATGTAGCAGAGGCCATGGTTCGATACTCGACCTCTGCTGAAAAACGAGAGACTCGTGTTTTGTCTTTTAGTTTTCTAGGACAAGATGGAGTTTCCAAGGAACAAGCAAAAACCAGGTTAATGACTTCCTTGTCATAGGGCAAGCTGCCCAATCGAGTCACAGAACACCTTGAGCTGCAGATGACTTGAAGAAGACATCAAGATCCCAAGACACTGGTCCGCCTTTAAGATATCTAAGTACCCGTATCGCTGCATTCATATGAGAGGTCTTTGGTTGATGCATGAATTGACCGAGGATTTGTACAAGCA